TAAAGTTGCATTATGAGAGCGAAAAGAATACGTTTTTTCTGCACAAGGAACGTGTCAGAATTGCCTCATTATTGTTTTCAGTGATGGGGGTAAATCAAGATGACGCAGATTCTGATTTTCAAACAATTCATATGGAATCTATTTCTTCAGGTTTTTTTTAACTTTCTTATTGCAATCAATGAAATGGAAATACGTGTAAGTCCAAGATTTGTTGAAAAATTACAAATATTTTCAAGTGGTTTTTCTTCTTGAATTTCGGGCATTTTCTCGCTTTCAATATTATTATTTGCAAAATTCAATTTCTGAAATCACGGTTCTGTCATTCATTCGTTATCAGCTTCTGACACTTGTATCATCTTCTTGTTTCTTCCTGTTGCATTTTTACCGAAAATTACAGTTACAAAAAATACTTCTACCTGTAATTGTAGAGTAAAAACTGAATGCCCAGTAGGAGGATTATGTACGACAGAAAATGTAGTGTATGAAGCCACGAATATCCGCTGTGAATTAGAAGCAGCGCTTTTATAACCATCGCCATTCCTTCAGTAATGAATCCCTTAAACATCAAACAGCGCTGTCTAAGTATTATTGAGATTTTGTGGAAAAAGGCTTCATCCCGTAGTTGAAATGGAGAATTATTACTCGGAGTTAGTATGAAGTACATTGACAGCTGAGTTTAGCTCAGTGATTCTTAACCGCCGTGCCGCGGCACACCAGTGTGCCGCGCAATCCTCTTAAGTGTGCTGCAAAATATTGTCACGACATACATATATATATATGTGTGTGCGTGTGTGTGGAAGTAGTAATGGTAAAGCGTTAATATTTGAATAAATGCATAGGTATTAAAATTTTTATCTCATATTAGCTAAAAAGTCTTTATTAGTTTTATTGCAACTTTCTATATCTTATTCATGTGAGTCAGGCTTCCCAACCTTAAATAATATCAACAATAAAAAGCGAGAAAGACTACGCTCAACTGACGAAGAAATGAGGTTCTATTTATCGCACATTCGACCAAACATTGAAGAAATCACGAAAGAACACCAGGCACAAGTTTTACACTAAATAAGTTGCACAAATAATTTAACAGAAACTTTGAAATAAAGTTCATACTTGTGTGTATTATCTAAAACTATGATTTTATTTCATAACATTTAACATAAGCACGGGCGATCAGACCTGAGCATATATATATATATATATATATATATATATATATATATATATATATATATACACTACAGTACAAAAATTTGAGGACATCCCTGATAATTTTTTAAATTGGCCCCAAAAGTAGTCGTTTTGTACTTTAAATAAGAGAAAAGTATTGTACATGGTTTAAAAGTGAGACATGATGCTTCATCAGAAATCTTATTATGGCAAAAAGAAAAAAATCATTTTATAAATTAAATATTGCTCTCGTCAAAATATCCTCCTTTAGCCTTGATTACAGTTGTTATTAGATCTTACAAATTATGGGCATACATTGCACAAATTTCTCAAAGTATAAATTTGATAATTGATTCCATCTTTTTTTTTTTCAATGACTCTAAGAGCTCTGTTTCATTTCTTTTCTTTTTTCACAGACATATATTTTGAGTTTAGTGAAGAGTTTAAATATCATGTATCTACGTGCAACATGTAGTAACTGGAGAAGCACAGGCCGAACGGATTTCCCATACTAACACCATTATTTTGGGTGTAGATGTTGCCATTATGGTCGTAGAAGGGGATTTTGGTTGTACCTGTATGTAATAATTCTTTGAGGATATTCGGTTTGATGGGTGGAGCGTGATTATTTGTGTACACGGAGTTAAGGATTGTCAATAACTTGATTATCGCGGACGTTTGTAAATAAATTTTCAACGTCGAGAAACGCTAAAATTCCTTTGGTTGGTTTTATAATTTTTATAATTTGAAGGAATTCCTGGGTTGATGTAATGTTGTAATTGGTGGGTAGGTAATGATGTCATTAAGGAATTTTGATAGTTTGTAGATAAAGGTTGGGATCTGGTAAAAGATTGGTCATAGTGAGTATCCGGTTCTGTGTATATTTATATTTTCCTATCCTGGTTGGTAGTCTACGATGATTTTTTTCAAAATCAACGCCAGGGTTATTAGATGTTATTAGATCTTTTTAGGGTCTCCGTGGGGTTTATGCTTAATTTGTTGAATTTAGATCGATCATCGATGATGTGTTGTAATTTTTTATGGTAATCGGATTAGTCTCATATTCCCTATGCGTTAGCTTTGTCAGCTCATCTGATGACAATATTTTGGTATTGTTTTTTAGTTATTTTGCGGCGATTTTTAGTTTTGTTGTTAGGATATTATTATAGTTGTTGTGAGAAGTGGGTTCTTTTAAGCTCTCTGCCTTAAAGAGGACCCCCAGGTTTGAATCAACTGCCATGTCTCCACGTACCTCAATTTGGGATAGTGATTGGCATAGAATTTCAATTTCGGTCTTCTTTGTGAGGAGGTCAGATTTAGGTTGGAGATGGTAATTTGGCCCTAGATTTAGGAAATCTTTTTGATCATCTGTTAATTTATGAATAGATAGATTTATATATTTATCATTGCTATTGTGTGGTAAAATGTTCCCTTGCTTTTTGTAATTATTTGTCTTTGTGTAAGTCGGTGTTCGTTAATGATTAGGTTGAGATAGTACTTTTATTCGGGTTCATTCAAGGTGTTTTTAGTGTTTAGTTATGTTTGTGTATTTCATTATTTAAATGTTTGATGTTACATTTAACTGTTTTTATTTGCCGTAGGACGATGGGTTTTTTTTTGGGGGGGGGTGTTTTTGTTTTGTTTTGTTTTGTTTTGTTTTCTGTAAAGGTAGTAGTGTTAAATTAGATTATTTCTTTCCAAAGTAACTAATAACGATACTGAACACACAGACAAAAACAATAACGTTAACATCTTCTACAAAAGTCAAATACACGCCAACTATAAGCAAGATAAATTTTCACTTGGAAATACCATAAAAAATACACTACCCCAATCGACTCGAACAAGAAAATTAAATTATCTATTGAAAAATTTTAAAATTTAAAACAGATAACCTGATCATCAAAAATAACGACACAGCTGCAAAATCAAAACTACAAAGAACCAACATTATTTATGTTGTGGTAGGATACACCTAATTTACAGTGGAGTACCGACCATATAAATATGGGTTGGTACCGGGAAGACGAGGAGGAAGTAAGAAGAGATCCAATCGAGAGACTCTGCCCGACTGCGATTAAGTCAACCCATTCTACAGGAACAGTCTTTCCAAGAATATACCAAAACTAACTGTAAATATTGTGTACCTTTTCCTTGTTTCAATACATTTTGTTTACGTACATTTTGTGTTGTATTATTATTATTCCATGCTTATCCAAGATTCAACAATTTACGAGTTCAAATGCCCCTTAAGGAACTAAACTCATAAATAATCACATCGGTCACACTACTACATCCCTATCCAGACGACTTACGCTACATCTATCCGCCATTAGGACTCATTTAAACACACAGAAACTTACCAAAATCCATCCGAAACATACTAGTAGAAAATACAAGCATAATCCAGATGTAAAAAAAAAAAAAGATAATGTGAGCCCTAATAAAAAAAAAGATAATGTGAGCCCTAATAATAAAAAGATAATGTGAGCCCTAATAATAAAAATGAAAAATCCAACACTCGGTAACATGAACAGTTATCAACACGACGGGCCGTGTTTGGAAAATAAAACATTCCTATAACTCTAGATATATATATAACACAATCCAAACATTCAGTTAAAAGTAAAAATGAAAATCACCCTTGATAATGGCCAAAAGTATAGCCGAAAGCGATCGGAAATGTAAAACATTTGTACAGTTTTTTACAGACTTTGTGTCTAAAAAAGAAAGCACTTGAAAAGAAAAATTAAATAAAAAGCTTAATCACAGTAACTTGTCAGTCGTCTTTAACGAAACATGTATAAACGAGGGATTGGTGTATAAATACACACACACACACACACATATATATATATATATATATATATATATATAGAGAGAGAGAGAGAGAGAGAGATTTTTAATGTATCCCATATTTATGTGATAAACTGCCCAATATCACAGATAGAGCGTATGTAAATATAAAAGTGAACCTTAATGCCTGTGAGTGTTGACTTCAGTGTTCACTTGTGTATATATATATATATATATATATATATATATATATATATATATATATATATATAAATATATATAAAGAGCCAGGAACAAACCTACCTAGATTTCACCTAAACCGATCTTCAGGGTAATCTGACGAAAGAGGAAATGACACGAAACAATTTTTTATTGATTGATAAAACCACTAAAAAATAATTAGCATAAAACCTTGTGACCGAAAAAAAAAAAAAACAAAAAAAAAAAAACCAAAACACAAAAACAAAAAACCAGAGCCTCCATTCCAATAACCAGGGTTTCCTATCCCTACACCTATTTAAAATCTCAGATCTTTAATTTAATAAATTATTAGGTTCATTGGAGGTGGCTATTGCAAATTTTTCCTCCATAGATATTTTTCTAACCGAATATTACTAATAGTTTAATAATATATATATATATATATATATATATATATATATATATATATATATATATACGGCCTCTGTCTCAATATTAAATAAGGTTATAACTCAATGTAAATTGAACATTTTTGGAAATCTACGCGTGTCCATTTTTTCTTGGTTGCATTCTGTAACTGCATGCACGCCTCGTGTATACGTCGTCTCTGCATGCATCAATGGGAAACATGCATTTAGATGCATTTGTGCTTTCGGTAATATTTCACTATTTTCCCAAGTCTTCCTGTGTGCATTTTCTCCCATCAATTTTTTTAACATACAAATTCTCTCTCTCGTTCGTTCATGTTTATATAGAGAGGGATGATGAGTAAAAATGGTTATTTCGATACAATTCTATTGTAGGTAAATAGAATAATACATTTTTATTCATTCCTATCCGAAGGAGAGCGCGTGGTTTATTTCTATATATTTCTGGCGGGACTGGAGCGAGAGAGAGAGAGGGGGGAGAGAGGGAGAGAGAGAGAAAGAGAGGGAGAGAGAGAGAGAGAAAGAGAAGGAATAGGTTATTTCGAAACAGAAAATAAATTCGGTTACCTTTTTCTTGAATGAATTATAACTTTTTCGAAATATTGTATTTTCAGTAGACTTTGTAGCCGAGATCCCTACGGTTCTATTTATAAGAATTATACGTTATTATTATTATTATCATTTCTTTTTATTTCTGCTGTATACACATTTTCTTCCGGCTCTCAACCACTGATCATTATTATATAAAAAAAAAAACTAAGATCACACACATTTTTCATAAATAAAGCATTTCGTCAGGTGTGAGCTGTACTTATGTATACAACTTATACCTATACAATTTTATACTGAGCGTTTTTGAAGAAAAAAAATCACACATAATTTACATAGATAAAACCCTTCGTAAGGTATAGACTGTACTAGTGAATACAACTTTTTGTATTTCTTTAAGGCATTGGCTACCAGGAATCCGTTCATTGAGTCTATCGGAACCTTTTCCAATCAATCCAAGGGCTCCAACTACAATTGGATTTATTGATGCCCTCATCTGCCACATTTTTGAGATGATTAGGATTATTATTATTATTAATTCTTTGATTTCTGGTGTGTTTACAGTGGAGTAATGGATAGCAGCTCGGAATGAGGAATCTGAGAGCCGAGTTCAAATTCCAATCGAATCCATTACATTCACTTACGTGCTAATACCCTTGAGAAAGGTATGAATCATCATCTTCTCCCCCCCCCAGCTATGAGTAAATAGCAGGACAGACCGGGTTCTATAGTCTTGGATGGCAATTATTCTACCGCAGAAAGTAATGTCAGCCTACTGCGGAAATTGTCTGCCTCGTCAGTCATGTATCGAAAGATACATGATCGCCTAAGCGTGTATCACGCATGGCACATAACTGACTGACTTAATCATTTCTTTCTGTGTCCCGATCAGAAACCTAAAGTCAGAAATGGCATCATGACATTTTCCACAGAGCAATTTAAAAACACAGATACATATTTTACATAGATAAAAGGTAAGGTGTGGGCTGTACTTGCCAGTATTTCTTTCAGGCGTGGGCTTCTAGGAATCCCTTCAATGAATCTATTAGAATCTTTTCCGACCAATCCGCGGGCTCCAAATCCAACGGGGATTGGTTACTGGCGCATACTCATTTATTTCCGGGTCCCGACCAGAGATCTAAGATCAAAAATGGCATCATGACATTTTCGACTGAGAAGTTTAAAAAAAAAATCACACATATTTTACATAGATAAAGCCCTTCGTAAGGTGTGGGCCGTACTTGTGAGTAAAATTTTTTGTATATCTTTAAGGCATAGAGTACCAGGGATTCCTTCAATGATTCTATTGGAATCTTTTCCAATTAATCCGAGATCTTCATTGTATATTTATAGATGCAGTGTCACTTTGTTGTTCTGTACTCTCACACAACAACAACAATAATAATAGTAAATAATGATTAACTGCAATTACAGGCCCAGAGAACAAGACGATATGAAAAGCGTTGTAGGTTCTATCGACAAAATAAAATATTCCTAACGGTCCCCAAGAAGTTTTACAGCTAAAAGTAGTTATAGAATTCAAAAAGCCACAATCTATTGAAGAAGTTCAGACATTTTGGTAGAATAAAGAAATATAATTACAATGCGAAATGGATCAAACGAGAATAAGAAAGAATGAAGGATAAACCTGTGCAAGAATGGAAAACATAACGAAGAATAATGTTAGACAAGCTCAAACAAAATCCACAAAATCCGCAAAATGGAAATCTCTAAGAAATGACAAAGTACCCAATTTTTGTCTATATCATTTGTCATCAATGCATAAAACTCTTGTGCAAACTTTATCAATACTAATTAATAACCCCAATGAAATTCCAGAATGAATCACTGAAGTATTACATATCTGCTACCAAAAACGGATGAAATAGATGATCCAAAAATTGTAGGCCAATAACATGTCCGTCCATCACATAACTGTGCAGTTCAAAAAACATTGCCTGAATCGAAGCAAAAAATGAAAAAAAAAAGCGTAATAACTTCGTGAGTTTCTGGAAAATGGTATCATTGGAGATTTAGTTGTCTCGGTCATTGACTGATCCTTATTTTCGCGCTTCCCCTAAGAACGGCGGCAGCGACGTATCGCAGGTTTATTTAGATAATTTGGATAAATGAAGAAACTAGAGAACAGCAAAAGGCATTCATGAACAATGGCGGTGGGAGAGAACAGGGTTACGGCGGAATTGGGCGGAATTGTGGATCAGCGTTCGTCTGCAATTTCGTGTCGTTATCAATCACTTCTTAGTTATCTCATTACATCTTCCGGTGGCGTAATGATGAATTGATTTTGGCAATGGAATTATTTGTCGCGTAACATTTTGTCCGCGTCTCTCTTTATTCATTGGTGACAACATAAAGTCAGCCAACAAATAACAAGTGTGAATAAAATAGATTGACGGAATCACTTGCAAAATCATCACGCTCAAATAAAAAAAAGATAGAGAGGGGAAAAAGAGAGAGAGAGAGAAAGAGAATGAGAGTGAAGAGAGAGGGGAAAAGAGAGAGAGAGAGGGAAGAGAGAGAGACAACAAAAGAAAAACGAGAAAAGAAGCAAAAAAGAGTTAAGAGAATAAAGACTGAAGTCTGAAAGCCTTTTGTCTTACAAGATAAATAATTACAATGACGATATTTACTAAGCTTAGCATTGTATGGCACAAGGCCTCACGAGTAGAGCACTAAATGGGGATCCAATTCACCAGAGTAGTAATGATATGCGAAATGAACTTTGTAACTGTTGCTTAGTAGTGAGGTTCCCAACTAATATATACGAAGTTTAACTTAGTACGACAGAAGGGCACAGATTTGGAGTACTCATTACTACGTTAGTAATGGTCTGTGGTTTAATTTGCTACCCACTGTGTCATGGCCATACCTCTAAATAATTGCAACGATCAAATCCAATCTCTCTCTCTCTCTCACTCACTCTCTCTCTCTCCTCTTTCTATCTCTCTCTCTCGCCATCTCTGTGTATTTTCTCTTTCGCTCTCAGTCTATTTATCCTCTCTAATTTTTCTATATTTTCTTCTTCGTTCCTTTCTCTCTTTCGTTCCAAGTTCTTCGCTCTCTCTCTCTCTCTCTCTCATCTATCCTCCATTTTCTCTATATATACTTCTCTTCTTTCTCTCTCTATTTTCTTTTCCTTTCCGTTCTCACTCTCTTTTTCTTCTATTTTTCATTCTCTCCCCCTCTCTCTCTCTCTCTTTCATCTATCCTCCATTTTTCTATCTATACTTCTCTTCTTTTTATTCTATTTGTCCTTCTGTGTGTGTGTGTGTGTGTGTGTGTGTGTGTGTGTGTGTGTGTGTGTGTGTGTGTGTGTGTGTGTGTAAATTATTATCAACTTTGACTCTTACACCAGTAATTACTTTTCAAGGCCGGCGTAATCACAAGTATTTTGGATATGTCATTTGAACTTAAAGACCTCCTTCCAACTCGAATGATTGCTGCTGCAAAATCTCCTTATCCATGTATATCAGACATGCTATTCACCTATTATAAATGATTTGAACTTGGTTGCCTCTGGTGTTTGGGACCCGGCTAGGTTTTGAAGTTTGATTCTTAAAGCAACCTGTCTCTTTTGGCAGAATGGTATTATGAAAACTATCCATTCTATTCTAGATCGATTTCATACATAGATATTAAGTCATTATATTGGATCAAAATGGTGACTATATTTCTCATTAATTTGGTTAATTTTAAGCCTTTCTTCACCCAATTGCCGCCATTCTTGACATCCATTAGCATCGTACGGTGATTTTGCCAATTGAAACAATTAAAATCTCCATTAATGGAAAAGTTGATTCTATTAATTTTTCTGTAATTCAATCAGAAATCACAATGATTTCCGCAGCTTTCGATGACTTCAATGTCATGAATCTTTATCAATTGCAAAGAAAACAATTTGTCTTGTTCTATCACTAAATCTACAATTACTCATCACCAAACAAAACAAATTGTCTTACAAATCAGTTATCTTCTCCTGCCTGTCATTCACTGACACGTGTTGAACGGAAAGAGGTTTGATTTGTTTTGTTTGGTTTAACGGTCTATGGGCCATTTAATGCCGAAATTTTATTTTCTTGTGATCAAACGTTTTTATTAAACACAACGTTGGAAAATCTGATTTGCAATTGCATAAAAATTGCAGAGACCGTCACGTCTACATCGAAAAACAATACCCTGGTGGCGCCAGGGGTGGCAGTACCACATTACTCACCGAAAGAGTGTTACCTCCCCTGGTTGGCGGCTGATGAGAGCAGGGTATCGCACATGCTTTCACACGTTTTGATTTTATTCTTTTCCAAAAATGTATTGCTGGTAATTTTTTCTAATGTATTTCTATATATTTCATGTTTTTACCCCAGTTTGTGGATTTACTATTTGCCCATAGCTGGGACCCTAGCAAGTGCTACTACCTTGGCACAGGGTGAATCTGAGAACTTACAGTAATTAAGAGGTGTTTCCACGCTCCTCAAAACCTCCCAGTCAGAGGCCTTGCTGTTGGATATAGTTTATCGTCATACTTAGGATGAATGGAAGGAAGAAATATTTTGAGAAAATATTCGATCATTTCAACAAATCAGCTGAAATCAAACGATTGACATAGTTTACTCTTATAAGTAACAAAAATTTTTAAATATTTTTTCGGCTGATATAGTTTAATATTTCATAGCGATGCCGGAAGTTGGAGTTCGAAATCCGGATTTTCAAGGCAAGTATTTCAGGCCTCGAAACTTCTTCATATTCCTCTTTTGAACCTCGTATTTTACTAAACAGAGATTAGTATCAATAAATATTTAGATTTAATAAAGAAGTATAGTCGTCAGCACCGGCTCTCATCCGAACATCGGGATCGTCATTCTCTTTCCTTATTTCTGGTGGCGGTGGCAGAGATAGTTATGAAAAACCAGGAGACACAGAGAAGTGTAGGTGGTGGATCCACCTGGGCATTTCGGGCCCTCCTGACAGCGCGTCGCAAATCCTCTTCATTTTGACAGTTTGAATCGAAAATGTCGGGTGGTCCTACGCCAAGAAGGCCGATTTGCAGAAACAGTTTCCCAGGTCTCAGAGTCGATGTTGGGCTATGACAGGGATGTCTTCAACTGATCCTTGAAACTTCTTGAAACTTCTTGATGTCGCAACTTCTTCCTATTCTATTCTATTCGTGTTCCCCCTTTTAACATTTTATTTGACTAATTAAGATTGGTATCAATAAATGTAATAGATTTAGTAAAGAAGTAAAATAGAAAAAAAAGAAAATGATAACTCTGTTGGTTTTCATTTTATAGCGATTTAACAAGATCTTTCTTTTGTCGCCTCTTATAATATAGTAAGCTAAAATATCATGTGCAAAGAAATAAAGTTATAAATGGGAGAACAAAGAGAGAACGTGAAGAAAGAGGGTGAATGGTGAGAGAGAGAAGAGAGAGTGAGAAGTAGGAAGAAAAGAAAGGAAATAGAGAAAAGAGGGCGAGAAAGAAAAGAAAAAGAGAAGAGAAAAAAGTTTTACAGAAAGTGGAGAAGGAATTTAAAAAAAAATGAGGAGTAATAATGAAATAATGGAATAGAGGCAAAACAAAATTCTGGAAATAAAATATTAAGAAAGGATTAAAATCTTTAAAATTCCCAAGAGAGGAGAGATGTAGAAAAGGGGAAGAAGTGCATGAAAAGAGAGGGCGTGTTAGGTACCGTAAGAGAGAGAGAGAGACTATGTCGTGAGAAAGAAAGAAAGAAAGAAAGAAAGAAAGAAAGAAAGAAAGAAAGAAATGGAGAGAGAATTTTTCAACTGAATGAAAATTATACCCAGAATAAACAGAAAAGAATAAGTTGGAGTTGAGAAAAAAAGAAAGAAAATGAAAATCTAAAAGAAGAAGAAGAAGAAGAAGAAAAGGAAGAAGAAGAAATGATTTTGAGAATAAAAGGCCGAACTAAATGAAAAGAGAGAAAACAAGAGAAAGAAATGCATGCACAGCAATGGAAATATTTTTGAGCCATTGGTCGTATTCTCTGATAATATTTGAAATGTTCATATAAAAGCTACAAATGTGTGGAAGCAATGCCTGACTGACGAGATTCATAGAAAGCTGTTAGAATGGACACTTAGCTGGTCTGTTAGAATTTGTCTGAAATAGTGACTGAATGGAGAAAGTGTGTGATGCGTTTATAGGAATCGAGAAGTTCTTCTGGGTGAATGAATCGGGAAAAAAAAACAGAATTGTCCTTCTGCATAGGAATGGTTCTTTATCAGGAAGTTGAAGACGATATCGGACAAAAGAGAGAAGATGGCAATGCGAAAAGGGTAAAAGTTGAACAGAACAGAAGAGGAAAAGACAAAGAATGAGTGTGAGAGAGAAAGAGAGAGAGTTTGGGTAAAGGAAATAGGAGAGAGAAAGAATATATGCATTAAATGAATGAAAAATCCATCTGTATAAGTAAAATAATGAAGATTTAAACCTTAGAAGAGAGAGTAAGTATGGGCGAGGTAGCGCAAAGAAATGATAGAAAGAGGGATGAAGAGAAACAGAGGGAGAAGCTAAATAAACTGTCAGGAAAAGAGAAAGAGTAAAAGAGAATGAAAAAGTAAGTGAGAAAAAGAGAACGAAAAAAAAAGAGAGAGTGCATTCCAGAGCCAGGTAGAAAAAACTATAGGGATGGCTGAGAAAATAAATAGATTGAGGTGGCGAATAGATTTCAGCCAAGTTCAAGCGAAGGGACGAGAAAGAGGTGATTGCTGGGTTGGGGTGGGGTGTAAATGCAGAAACGAATATGCGGGAATGAGAGACACAGTTCAGCTGTTATTTTAAATCTCTGTCCATCAAATTCGAAGAGACAGCTGTTGTTATATGTCTGTTTAAACAGTGCAGGCGCTCTCGTACGCATGCGCCGGGGTGAGTATAGTTCACTACTGGTTTTATCGTTGCAACGCACAATTTAAATTGAACGAGAATATATTCAGTCACTTCGTTTGAAAAGCGATGTTCGTTATGACTTTCCTCTCTTTTCTCATTCTCGTTTGAAGACTCAAGTTTCTCTGAATATATCGAGTATTCGATATCCTTTTGCGAATTTCTCTCCTTGAAGATAAACAAGACTATTTTTGAGGCCTGCTTGGTGGTTAATATAGTTGCATTTTCCAACGTATATCTTCTTCGTCTTCTTCTTTGTGCCGTGACCCTTCAAGACGTGGGCAACCATGGCTCTCCACAACTTCCTATCCTTCGTAGCTCTAATAGGTGTCTTTTTCCTATCTCTACTACTCTCTGTTCTGTCATCCATTTACTCAAGATTGTCAAACAGATTACTATCTGTTTCTTTCTGCCCCTTTTACTTTCAATATGTCCTGTGAGTGTCATTTTCGCCCAGCACTCTTTCCCCCTTTTTGGTACTAGAAATTTCAACTGTCTTCCTCTGATCCTAAGTATATATCATTTTTGTTTCCATTTTCCTTAAAATTTCCTCGTTAATCATATGTTCAGTTCAAAGTATTCTCAGCATCCTTCTGTAGAACCACATTTCTCTTGTTTCTGCTCTCTTCTTCATCTAGACCTATACCAGTAGTTGATATTCAAACTCAAATCGGCAAAATTTAGAATTTCGATATTTTTAAGGAGTCGAGCAGGTAGGCTCTCTTCTCTTGATAAGGTCGTTGTAACACAGTGTTAGTATTCTCCGTCTTATCTTGTATCAGACTAAGCTAAAACACATATACCTGTGATACTGATTTACCTGGTCTTGTAGAGAGTCAAAGTCGAACATACGATAGAATTTGCATACGAAATGGAAGAAAAAATACTTTAACTTTCCTAGATATCATGCTACACCACCTTAACAGCAAAAATCAACTAATAAAAATGATCTCATAAATTTCTATTCTCATCATCACAACAAAATAAAATCTAGAATTATCAACGGATTCTATTTAAGGGCACTCATAATTTGAAGCTTTGAAGCTCCACAAATATTCTATTTTATATTCAATGAAAAACTAAAGGATCATAAAAAAGTGACCACTCCTGAGAAAATCAACGAATCAAAAAGATATATTGTTCTACCCACTAGGGTAGAACAATATATATTTTTTGATTCTATCACTACAATTGAAAAGAATTTATCTAAACTCAACATAAAATTTGTTACAACTACGTCTAAAACAATAAAAGAATCAACACAAAACAATAAACTAATACTTGAAGGTGTTTATTCTATCACCTGTAATGATTGCCAGAAAGAATACATAGAAGAAACCACAAGGAATCTAAATAAAAGATGATATAAACTCGGAAGGGATATTTCACAAAACGAGACATCAAATAACTGCCCGCCGTAACGAGACTGGCCACAAAAAATGCTACTCTAATTAAAAGAGAAAAAAATTCACTAAGACGAAAATGTGTAAAAAGAAAAGTGCTTTAATCTCGCTAGTTCATCCATTTTAAATTTTGGTCCAGGTTCTGACAACATTTCACCCCTCTTAACAGATCTTTTGTTATCACAATGTGGGATATTTAATAACAACGCTGACGGAAACTAAAACAGAAAGAAAAAAGGAAGCTAAATGAAATCGGCTAGATTATAGACTCAAAACACATGAGAATAAAATTTAAAATTCCAGCGTCTCTCGTTTGTACGCATGTGTGTTGTGTAGTCGCACCAACATAAACAAACTTAGTCCGCTGAAGTCCTAAAGGACGAAACGCGTCACACGAAAACTTTTTCCACTTTGTCATACATCTTTCCCCCAAAATTGTTCTTAATATATATATATATAAATTATATATTGTTATCCCATATATATATGACATAAACGATATATATTTTAAACCGGAATCCGCAAAGGGGCCGTAGTAGACACTCTAGTAAAAAAAATCATACGCAAAACGAATCCGATTTCACCAAAGGTTTCATTCTAGACATAATCACTGCTACTATAGAAACCAACAATGAAAATATATTACCACTGAGATAACTCATTGCACTAAATAACCTTGAAAGAAATCAGGATCACTCCCTCTTAACAAGGGAGCGGGGATTGTGATAATGAACAAGAATACATACATAGAAAAATATAAACTCACTATTCAATGATATTGACACATACGAAACAATAAACGAACAAAAAATAACTACCAAAACACAAAAATTAAAAACAAAAAATCAGGAAATTAATTAAAAATGAAAACAAATTGGAGTATAGACTCCTAGAATATCACCCTAGAACGCCAAACATTACGCTCTCCCTAAAATCTACAAAAAGGGTATCCCAATGCACCCCATTATCTCAGGAATAGACATCCCCCTACACCATAAACTGGTGAAAGACGTAACAAAAATTTCTAACCCTTATTCTTGGAACAATCAGTCCATCTCACATAAAGAACTCGGGCAGCCCAGATGAAAATCTAAAGGAAATGAACATGACAGACAAACGCGTGGTCAGTCTAGATATAAAAAAATGCCTAAACCTTCTAAAAAAACATCTAACACAATCAAATATAAGGCTCTCTTTACTCACGGCTAAAATAATAAAAATCTGCCATCTCATCACCAATCACTGCTACTTCTCATTTAATAATGATTGTTACGAACAGAAATTTGGATTACCAATGGGATCGCCTCTCAGCAGAGTAATGGCATGTATCTTCTTTAAAATTTCTCGAATCTGCTCTTTTCCAAAATATTTTAGCCAAACAATAAAAATGCTTTCGTTATATTGATGATGCTCTACTTGTCCTTGTGATACTGATTTACCTGGCCTAGTAGATCAACTAAACAAAGTCAAAGACACAATGGAATTTACATACGAAATGAGAAAAAAAATTCCTTACCCTTCCTAGATATAAAGCTACACCGCGATAACAAGAGTTTAAAACTCGGTGTCCACCGGAAATCAACCAACAAAAATGACCTGATAAATTTCTATTTCCATCATAATAACAAAATAAAATCCGGCATAATCATCGGGTTCTACCGTAGAGCTTTACACGAAGAGGAGAAATAAATTGAAAGCTCTTTCAAAATTCCCCAGTACACAAATTATTTTATATTCAATGCGAAATTCAATGCGAAATTCAATGCGAAATTTATTTATTTATGGAAAATAATTCCTTAATTTTTGCTTCTTCACTTAGTTTAAATTTAACGTAGGTCATATTCGATTGGTTGATCTGAGCCCACAAAGCTCAGAACACCCCCTTTTTTTTCTTTTTTTCGTAAAAGAGGTTGTATTTTGTTTTTAAATCTAAATAAATCTTTCACTTGCCAGTAATTTACAATAGCCTAATGAGATGCATTGATGCACATCGAAATACGACTGCAATTGTGTAGCAATTTTGACATGTTTTCGGTGTAATATCCTAAAATAAATAATATTGCTCTACTTTATATTGAGCCCTATTTGAAATTAAATGTTACAAACGTTGGAATTGTACTCTATTCGATCTCATCTTACCTGGATATATATATATATATATATATATATATATATATATATATATATATATATATATATATATATATATATCTGTATGTATATTCGTTATGAAAATCTTAACGATCCTAAGGAACAGTTTATGACCATTATGAGTACCTGAGAATTGTAATGAACATGAAACTCCGAGTCGTACTTTCGACGTAAGCTAATATATATATATATATATATATATATATATATATATATATATAAATAAATTGATTTAAAATATGGTTTTTCGCTACACAGTTCTAAACTTGTTTCAAAAAATGGAAGGTCCGAATTTAATTTTGTAATTAAATTAAAGACATTAGTTCCATTTCATCCTCAAGCAATTTTGGTGTAACTACCCAGTAATTTTATAAGTTACTCCAAAATTCGCTTGAGGATGAAATGGAACTAATGTCTTTAATTTAATTACAAAATTAAATTCGGACCTTCCATTTTTGAAACATGGTTAGAACTGTGTAGTGGAAAAACCATATTTTAAATCAATTTATTTATAATAATAATGCTCTGTAAATTTACATTGAGCACTATTTTGTAAAAATAAAAGTATCTATATCTAGATTATCGCCGATGGATTTTGACTATATAAGTTTTTGTTTATACGTTATTTTTATAGATACAAATGTTTAAGTAAATGCTCTATCTATAATAAACAGCATTTGCAGCATTTACCAGCCTGAATGTTCGAGAAAATATGTTAAATAATCATTGGACTTAGTTCATGTCATCATATATTATGTCATTTGTTTACGTTAAGATACGCTTCGAGAAGATATGACCATTCGAGGGAAAACATGGGAAATTAGCAATTTAAAAACAGTAATTTGATTTTGCTAACCAGACGCTTCCTCTGTAGGTAAATGGTATAGCGCGTCAGGCTATATGACGCTTCCGTGTAGGGTACAGTTTCGATTCCTGCTGGAGAACACATATTTTCTATGAAATTTCTCAGACATTCACGAAGTTAATTGTTGGTTATACTGTTTATTATAAACAGAACATTTAGTTAAGTATTTGTATCTATAAAAATAACGTATAAGCTATATATATATATATATATGTATATATGAAGACAAATATATACGGAAAAACAAACAAAAATCCTTATATGCAATTATGCTGTTTTAATGTTAATATGTCAACA